TGTTTGCTTTTAACTTTCATTTTGAGTTCAGTTCAGACAGCTCTACCTCCTTCCCAATCAGCTGCAGCTTCAAATAACAAAACAAGATTGCCTCATTGTTTTGACTCAAAGACACTAAAACTGAGCAAACTAAACGCTCAACACTTTACTCTAACCATAAAATCCAAACACGTCACTAAATATAAATCCCTTAAATCTCATTGCTCACTACCACTGTGTTTTTATCATCACTTCATTAAACTTTCACTTCTTTTTATTTTATTTTTCCTGTAGATTTTTTTGGCGCTTGTCAAATAATTTGAGGTGTTAGTCAAAAATGAGTTTTTTTTTAATTGAGGTTTGGTGTGGTGGGGGTGAAACCAGAGTGTGGATTGAGGTGTTTGTTCGATGAATCTGTCCATGTTTCACGGCCTCCTGCTGCAACGATCTTCAAATATGAAAAAAAAGTGCTGTAAATTATTTATCATAACTGCGGWTTTACTATCAACACAATTTAAAAACTGGTGTATAGCTMGAAGTCTGTACTTTTTACACATATTGGAACAGATTCTTAGCGAGAGCATATCTTTCCCACTACAATGGTTGAAATTGGCCATGTGAATGTACAGCATCCAAGGACTCCAGAGGATTAATTGTAATATTAATTGTTATTGATCAAATACAACAATTAATGGTGATTAATTTTTTGCTAATATTGCCTAATCCTAATTTGCCCCTGTGGCGTTTCATACAATAGAAGTTTCTTGTGCTCTGATTGTACATAATTCATTTACGGACCAATAAATCCCCTATCTTTACATGTTGTACTCCATCTAATGTGGAACATACAGGCTAGTGACTTGCAGGACCTGTGCACTTTGGGCTATATCTGTCCCTCTCCTTTCCCCCTCTCATTAATCATGCAGGATCCATAGATAATGAATGGTGCTCATGGTTTCTTGAGCCTTTCACCGCTTCCAGTCAGACGGATCTGTTAACATGYCCCACATACGTTTATGAGCCATTGTATGTTAAGACATGCATCACTTAATGTGACATCCAACAAACAGGAGCCTAGTGGATAAGTGTCCATGTCATCATACATTAACTTTCAGTCACTTRTCTGTCGGTGATGCATTTTCTGGGTTTGCGTTTCTAAAAGGCTGTTGTTGTTTTTTTCACTTTCCTTTACACTTTTGAGGTTTGTGTTGAAGTGTGATTAACAGCAAGGCCACATGGGAGACAGAGATGCTTAATAGTAAGTTGAACATAATCCCTGAGTCATCAGTGTTTATGCTGAATGGACATATGCAGACCTAAACACAAACACAACACTGTGTAATGCCTGCAGTTSGACCAGATAATGTGAATCAAAGACAGGTTTAGTGGGCAGTGGTCATGCTGGTTCCAAAACACTTTGGTTTATCAATCCCTACAAGTCAATAGTTTACAATATACACATCCTTTCTCTTACACAGAATTGTTAATAACTCAGCTTCTACCATTTCAGATTTTGCCTCCATATCCTTAACCTAACATGAACTAAGTTACTGTATTTGTTCAAGTATAATACAAAAAATTAAATCCATTAAATCATCCATAAAGTTGGGGGGGTAGTACTATACTCGGATCAGTATTTTTGCTTATGTATTTTAACTGAAATATTGGCCTCATTCACAAAATGCCTTAGTCCAGAAATGATACCACGTCGTAAAAAGCGGTTGAAGCGAGCTTACCTCTGACACTCCTTTGTGCCTCCGAATGAGATAGTAACAGATCCAAGCAGTTCAATATGATGTGAAAAGAAAAAAAGGCAGTCCTGCAGCTTAGTAATGATAACAAACTAATGGCATTAATGTGCGACCGGGCCGCTGCCGGAACAACAACAAACACGTTTGTCTGTAARYGTTGCCGTCMACCGGTGTTCTGGAAAAGTTGGTCTACCTGAAAAAGTTTCCCCACCAGAGGGGGCGCTGGRGAGACACAGAGGATGAGATTGTTGTTGAGTGGGATTCTGATGGCTTTTGATTCAGCTTCATCCACACTTGTTAGAGCCTCAAAGCTCTGTCTGTTTGTTAAATCACACCGGCTAACAAATGAGCATTGCTAAATTTCACTATATTTTGTTGTAGTTACTGTTATACATTTGTTGTTGTGAAACTTTTTAGTACATATGTTGTTAAAATAAAATAAAAAAAACTGATACAACAGTCAAATGATCATTTTACTGATGTGTATAAAGACTGCAAAGGCTGAAAAATCCTGAAGTCCATATGAAATAAGAGATAGTGTGAGA